GTTATTTTCAGAAAATAAAAAATACTTTTGTTTTTTTAATTGAAAATCGATTTTAGAATACTCTTCTAATATATTTGAAAATCCCTGACTGTATTAATGTGGTGAATTATGCTGAAATTCCGGCCCGAATTATAAAATAATTTTGGGCCGGTTGAAGATTTTTTAAATTTGATCCAATTCCGTAAGTCATGATCGGTTTCATTAATAAATTTTTTTTAAATTTACTGTATCTAGAGTTTTACTAGTATATCGAGAGTATATAGATTGGCTTTGAGTCAACTTCACTATATTGAGGGTTCACTACGACGAGAGTGACTCGTAGTACAATATAATATATAAAAATTAGTTAGTTAGAATTAGGGTGAGGATTAAAGTTTAAATTAGCCAATACGTAGTTAATTATTAAAAATATTTTAAATCTATACACGTAAGAAATGCCTAATTTGATGCAGTGTTTATTTATACATAATATCTTGTGAGCCATCAAACAGAATCTCAAAATTTTGGTACCGTTTTGATTCGCGTAATTTTAGTACCATTCGCATAGTCTCATTGAGACGAATCAAATAGTACTAAAATCACGCGATTCTGATCATTGAGTTGCGTTAAATTCGGTATTGTATTATATAAAAACATTTTTAGACAAATGTTAATAGACAATTCTCGTGATCTAATGACCAGAATTGAATAATTTTGGTACGTATCATTTGATTCGTCTCGATAAACGATTTTAATATATTTTTATGTTATAATAAATTTTTTGATTTTAATTATAAAATTTTTAAATATTAATATAAAATACTGTCGATTTTTTACTATACTATATTTTATACAATTATAAAAAGATTTTAATATTTTTATATAATCAACCTTTAGTTTTTTAATTAGTAATTTTATTGCTAACATTATATTTAATATATTTAATATACTATTCATAAATACATCAAATTTTAAAAGAATTGTTTTTGGACTATACTTTTTTAAATTTTTTTTTTTATACGTATTAAAATTAAAATATTAATTTTAGATTTTAACAGATATACTACTATATAGTAATTTTTAAGCCTAAATCATATAGCATCATCATATAAACTGCAGTACAATACGTGAAAGTTACGTATTCAATTACTTTTATACACAACTAATTTTTTTTTTTTTTTAAATTTAAAATATAAAAGAATTTTTTTCCGTATCAATCACCAAGCGGTTGACCAGTACTTAATCTAGTTCTAGATAATTGTGAATTTTAAAGATTGCTTATAACAATTAGTAAATACCAAAATTTTTGCTGATATAAAATACCCCTTAGCTATCTTTTTTTTTTTTTTTTTAATTTATGGGATATTTGAAGTTAGGGTCTGCAGTAGGTGTACTACTCATAACAATATACCTGAGGATATGAAATTTAAAAAGGTTAAAGTTAAAAAAAAGAAAATTACACCTAAATATACATATTAATAGTTAAACTTTTAAATAGACATTACCCTTTGTTAGCAACAACCTCACGACATTTTATAAGAACAGAATATTTTAATACCCAACGTGGTAATAATTCTGAAGTGAAAGGAAACTTTGTATCTTGCAAGATTTTTTGAAATGTTGGTGTTGGTAAAATATCTATTTTAAAAAACAATTTATAATTAAATGATTGAACAAAACAATAACAAAAATAATAACAAAAAAATAATAATAATAATAAATTAATTACTAGCAGGATCTTTATGAGTTAGTAGTTCTATATCATGCTCTTTCGCATAGCCGATCATTTTATTTGGCAAATCACAACAACTTTTAATGTTTATTTGATCAATTTTTGGCGGCTATGATTCTTTTATCTTCTATGACAGTTGGGCTCACAAAGTTACTAGGGCATCTATTACTTGTTTTTT